AGAAAGAGCCAAACAAAGTTTCAAAAAATCTCAAAGAAAATCAAGAAAACCAAAAAGATTGATCTAACAATTTGACAAAACTTATGGTAGGGGAGGTTTTTACCCTACTGTTAACTATTGATTTTTAACTATTTAATTAACTTTTTAACGATTAGATCTGTGACTAGAAATACTTTTACATTACACGGCTCAAATTTTTAATATAAACACTCATATATTTAACTATTAAAAAGATAATTTAAACGGTTAAAATAATAATACTTATCAATAGAGTTTAAAAGCCTCTCATACCATGAATCTATTGTTATATAATAAATGAGAGTTATTTTTGTGCACTATTTTAAAATTTGGTTAAGTTATTTTGGCTTTTTGTGTGTTTTGTCTGTTATTGGTTTTTCTTGCTTGAATTTTTTTCCTCTTTCTTTTAAATGATATATTTTAAAATATGTTTTTTTTACAAAACTTGTTTCTTTTACTTTCTATCTATCAAAATGACCTTTTCAAATATGTTTCCACCATTTCAATCCTTTTACTTTCTCTTTTAATTGCCCTTTTAAATAAATATTTTAAAGAAGCCACTACTTATTTAAATATTTTCATTCATTCTCTATATATACAATATTAAACTAAAACATACATTTTGATTGAAACATGCACTTTGGTATATACATTTTATTTTTAAAACATATTTTTATATTTTCAAACGTGTCCAATTAAAATATTTTTTTCTTAATATAGTTTATTGAGATAATGTTGTTCAAATATTTATCTAGTTAACTAATCTTTCTTGCGATATTAATCTAAAATACTCTTTTTTTTCCAATAAATAATTTTACTTTTTTGCATGTAACCTTCCCAAGTACTATTTTCTTAAATGTACGGCTACATATTTTTCTCTCTAATATTTCTCCAATGACTATAATCTTAAATATTCGTTAACTAAGATTAAAGAAAATGAACATTATTTTGGAATTTTTCAATATTTATGTTTTTGGGCTTTTTGAATTTTGAATTTTTTAATTTTGAAATGTGTTTGTTTAATTTTTATTACGTTAATATTTAAAATAATACTTTATACCCTATTAATCTTAATGAGGGTAGTATTTGATTTTAAAATTTGACCTATTAGGGATTGTTTTTGCATTGGGTTTAATATTTTAGGAGATACTATTACATTTTTAATAAGTTAAGAAAAACAAACAATATGGGATTTTAAAAGGATATATAAATATTTAGAGAAGTTTTCTAAAATCGTTTTCTTCAAGTTACTGTATGTTCGTTTTTACATCTATTCCCTTCTTTTTAAGCTTTAAATGTTATTTGTTTATTTTTCTCCACTCAACTGCATTTCTTTTCATTATAATTTTGATCACTTGTTTTTTTAGCTCCTAAATATTTGTGATACGACAACAACAGTTATGCAGATAACAATATTGAGGCATATATTTCATGGATTAGATTTTTACAAAAAATATCAAGTATTATAAATATAACTTTAGAAAATCTTTTTTACTATTAATTTTAAAGTGAAAATAGCAACTAAGTATTTATGTTTCATTTTCTTTTCAAAATTTTATCAGTTGATCAAATATTTGTAGTAGACTTAAAAGAGAATATATACCACTAAAAAAAAACCTTTAAAATTTAACATATAAGTACCAAGAACACTCAACACACTAAGTGAAGCACATGGCTCTGACTAGTATTATAAAAAATTCCACATTATAACTTAACTAAATGGTCAGACGTTTATTAGTAAGCAACGGAATCCATTTCACGAGCAGCTGCCAATCTCTTGAAAATCCCCAAAACCAACTTACTGTCAACTAATTCCTCACCACAAGAAACCACTGCAATCTGCTTCCTCTTGGCGACCTTCTTCCCCGCAAAAGCCCCGGCGCCGGTTGACTTGTGCGCCACGTTTCCCGCCAAGCGGATCATCATGTCCACATAAGTGTCATGGAACGTCTTGGCCAAAACCTTTATAGGCGAAAAAAGTCCCCGCAGACATGTCAACTTGAGCTTATTGGAATGTCCTGCGTTCCATTCTTCGCGACTACTCGAGCCGTCATCTCCAAGCCTTATGATCTTCATCTTCCTCTTGTTGTTGTGGTTTGAGCCATAAAGTCTTTGGTATTTTTTTCTCCTCCAATACCTCTTCAAGTTTTCATAGCATGTAATTGGAACAAAATTCTCCATATCTAAATAGTACTTGATGTTCTACTGTGTTCTATATTTATTTTGTGAATGAGTGAGCTTGAGAGATAAAAGATAAATTTGAAAGTTTTTGAGTTTTGAGAGAGTAGTGAGAAGAGAAGAGGATGTTAGAAGGGGTTTATATAGATGTCAAAAGAAACGGTGCTATGCCAAAAAGAAAAAAAAAAAAATCATTGGACATGGTGCAATATTAGAGAGAGTTTCATGATTGGTCAAGAAAATTTTCCTGTTTGATCACCAGGTTAAGTGCTTATGAATTATTTAATAATTGAATTATTATTGTGAGTTTTGTATATGCTTGTCCTTGGCTTGTTTAAAGGCTCCTTATCAAAGGTCTAACTGCACTCCAAATTTGACCTGATCAATGTCACTCCTCTCTACAATATACTAGTTACATGAATAATGTTGGGAACACCAACTAAAATCTCAATTTTTATGTACCAACTAATGTAACACATAACTTGTCATTTTCACATTAGTGCGTGTTTAAAATATCATATTAATTAATAATAAGAGCTTGTATTTACTAATAAAAAGATGACAACTCACGTATTACATCAGTTCATACATAAAAGTTGATATTTGAGTTGATGTCCGTAGCGTTACTCCTAATTACATTGTACCAAAAGGTTAATGTGTTTTCTGTACTAATTTAAAGAGAATCTGACGTTAGACTAATATAGAAGAATAGAATCTAGATAGAAGAATACGATCAATATTGAGAAAGAGAAACAAAGACAAAAACAAAAACTTAATAGAAGAAAAACTAAAAATCTCAATACTAATTCATTAACCATAAGTACTATAATAGAAATGCAAGCACTAAGCTATTTACAAAATAAATAACAAATAATAACAAGATAATTAAACTTAACCTGAATTAAATAATTCTAGTAGATAAACATAATTCTAAATTCGCCAAATACTGAAAATAAAACATATCAAATTGATAATTTCCAACTTAAATGGCTAATTCTATATCTTGTTCCTAATCATAATGCTTACTTTGTTTTCAAATATTCATAAATATTCTGTTTTAGCAAGTTGATAACAGTCATGCGTTGACCATTTATTTAAAAAACTTATAACAGACAGTGAAATGGTCAATATATCTGATTGCTGAAAGATTTAAGCTAGTAGTCACGTGGTACATATCCCTAGTAATGAAATTGATGATTATTTTAACGTTTAATAAAGTTAATCAAATGCCTGTCAAATTATAACTTAAAAGTGTCTATAAATACATTCAAATAGAATGCAAAATATATTATCTTTAAGGCTTTTGAAAATCCTTAAAAATTAGATATATTGCGTCTATAAATTATAAATATTTGTTTCCCTCCTCACTAAGAAAACGAGTAATGTGACATTAAGAAATCAAAAATTGGAGCGTTCTATAATGAGATATCTTATTGGATGTAATGCATCTTTCTGAACGTTAAATCTAATCAAAACAAATTAAAAGCTAACCAAAAGTAATACATATTTGAGAGTGGAAAATTAAGTCCTATTAATAGATTTTTTTGTATCCTACCATAAAATTCTCTCTATAAATATTTATTTTTCTAGAACTTGTGATATTTGTGAGCAAACAACAGTACGGCACATATATACAATACGTTGTATACTTTCAGGTATGACGGAGAAAACAACAATACGGCGAATCCAAAGAAATCACCGGTTTGTCTCACTCCTTTGTTTCTTTTCTCTTGGTTCTATATACATGATTCTTTCGAACCCTAATTACTACACTTGTTTTTCTCTATCAAATTACGTAAAAAATTGTTATATTACTACAAATAATGCAATTTTTTAATGGCTCCAGAGAATTATTCAAAGCACATATATACAATACGTTGTATACTTTCAGGTATGAGTATAGGTGGCATTGAGAAAATTACACTTATAGTTCCAATTGGTATACACACACTTGCTGTTCCAATAGGGCTGACTATTTCTTCACTATATATTCAGTAGAATAAGCCATAAAAACCAAATAAATAAATAAATACAAGTTTTCTACACCAGAATTTGGAAAAATGAACAATCCAATGGTCTCTGTTTTTTAACCATAAAATCTGTATTAGAAACTATCTTTACATATTTTTTTAATTAAATTTAAATTAAGATTAAAATATGCACTAAGATCTTACCATAAAAGACCCTGTCCTAGAAAAATATTAAAAAACAAAAAAAAAAAAAAATGAGGAAGTGGATCCATACATCTGTGATTGCAAACAATCAGTGAAGAACCAATTTATTAATTGAGAGGACTATTTCTGAATTTTAAATTACCTCCTGTAAGAACAATTACATGCCTTGTGTGTGGCATCAAATTGTGTATAATTATTTCCACTTTGACACAAGTAGTACTGATGTATAAACAACATGAAGTTCTCATCCAATATTCATTAATAAAGTCCAAATTTCTTGTTATAATATCACCCTAGGTTAATTACATAATTAAAATGAAAAACTAAATATACGAAATTAAAAATGCACAAAATTTGGCAAATTTCAAAAATCAAAATAAGGATATTTAGAAAAATCAATCCTGATTTATTTTCTTGAATTCGCCGTAAATAACTTTGAAATCTTTATTTATAATCCACATCAAGGAAATATGAAACTCAAAATTCATTCATCAACCACACCTAAATTCAAATTACAATCACGAAGATATTTTTAGGGAAATAAAAATAATGAAAATATAAACTTAAATAAATGCTAATGCCAAATAATACTAAGAAATAAACATAATTGTAAATTCTAAACTAAATATTTAAAAAAAAAAAAAAGCATATCTTCTTCCTCATCACCAGGGTTTGTCTTGGGGCTGGCTTTTTTTCTTTTGTTAGGACAGCAGGAAAAAGAAGGAAAAGATAAGATGCAAGATCACCATTATGGTGATTCGAAGCTTCTATTAGGCAAACTTTTTATGAATTGTTCCGTGAGGATACCTGAATATATTGCCTCAAGGAACATGAACAAGCATATGAACAACACCAAACAAAAGAATCAATTGACCAGACTACTAGGTAGAGGTGTGGTTTGAAATCTACATTTTTTAAGTTCAGAGATGGTCGGGGTGATGAAATTGGTGCATTCTACAGATCATAAGGAATGCACAACTCCTAAACTCTGTTCTTCTCTAGAGTCAAAAATCTTAAAAGTCATTGTCTTCTCCCATATTCCAAACCGTCCAGAACTGGCCGACTGTCCCTGTTATTGACTCTTGATGATTCCTGGCCGTGTTGAGGTTGGATGCATATAGTTTCAAGTTGTGGTTGCCGCACGGTAAGAGTGTTCCTGGCGAAAGACGAAGGTTGGCTGCTGTTTCCAGACTCTTCCAGCACTCGGAAGTATGCATGAGGTCCCCAACCTGGGACCGAACATGACCACAAAGAAACGTGTCAAGAAAATATCTTGGACAACAAAAATGCATGAAGCTTTTCAGCACTGGAGAAAAAACAAACAAGCGTACAGACTATCTATATAGGCTTATACTACATTTAATTGGACGATAAGTCAATAACAGCAGTGACAGATCCAGGAATTAAATTCAGTGAGGGCACACGTTAAGACATTTTCCTTTCAAAGAAACTTCACAACATTCTTTGAATAACATTAAATTGCATACCTTATAGGGGGGCAGTAATTGATCATTGCAAAAGAAAAGGAACATGAGAGAAGAAAAACAAATATAAAATACGAGACTCAAAGAGTCGGTCTACATGCGAAAAACGGAAAAGAAAATGAAAAAACAAAAAAGAATACCAAACGTCAGAGAGTGACGAAACCCAGTTTAAGGGGAAAAAAAGAAGAAGAAGAAATAGTGGTAGTAAGTAGTATGTAATAGGAAAAAGTGTTGGTGATGTGTAAAACCAAAGTAATACTTAAAAGAAAGAAAAAAAAAACAGAGAAAAGAAAAAAACAAGTCCAATGCATCAATTTTGAAGCCCAAAACAACCAGAAAATAAGAAAAGCCCGTATACTGATTGCTAAAATTATTGGGAGCACACTTAAATGATACATAGAAATCAGTACACACAATTCTTAGATGCGTATTTTAACAACGTAAATACCAAAAATGATTGATTATAGCAACAACACAGACTTATTCCAGAATATTAAAGCGTAGAGTATATTATTTAAAAATTAGTGAAAAGAGTATATACCATCTATATCGTATGGGGGTGGATAGAATTGCAGGTAACAAAATGAAGCCACTAATATTCCTGCACATAGAAATAGGAATTAGCTCGAACCTTCTTTTGTTCTTTGTTCATTTGGGTGGAGGGTCAAGACCAGGCAGGTAACACAACAGAAAAAAAGTCCAAAGAAGACAACTACCTATGAGGCCCCCAGCAAAAACATCCTGCCAATGATGCCAATAGTCATCAACACGAGACACCCCAACAAGAGCCGCAACAAGCAGCGGTGTAAAGACAATACATAATTTAGCAATGTGGCCCCTACGATCAAAAGCCCTGACTTTCCCCGATAAGTACAGTGCAAGGTATCCAAGACCTGCAAAGGACCCTGCATGGTGGTGATAACCAGAATGAGTGTCATTACATCTAACTGCATCTCTTTGAGCGTAGATAACATACCACCCTTGTATATATCAACATTTTCAATTTCCCCCACGCCCCTCAATTTCGACTGAAAATAAACACACATCCCAAGCTATTTGAAGAGGAAAGACCAAAGAACACAAGCCTTTTTCCACATTTATCACCAGCTCCCAACAAATGTTTTCCTTTCTATAAAAGTTTTGATGTATTGTGTTGAAACTACATAATAAGTTTAATTAACTTGAATATTAATTGAACAAGCAACAAGTTATTGTTTTCGCATTCATAGGTATGTAGTACTTGAAACACCATCAATGCGTTAGATTAAGAATAGAATTTGGATATCTCCTGACGAGAAAGCTTAAAGTTGCCGTACAAATAAACATGTCATGTACATATGCACCAAAGAGAGAACGAGCACATAAACAAGCTTAGCCTTTTTCTTCCACTATAACACAGTTCAAGATTAAAAGGTTACTTACAGGAAGTATGCCCACTCGGAAAGCTTTTGTGCCCTTCCTTGATGACACCCTTATTGCCAGTACACATGACATTCTTAGTGACAGGATGAAACACCTGCACATGCCAAGGAACAAATTAAATGCCGAACTAAACCATGCAAAAGTTTACGTCAAAGAAGCATCAAAAGAAATGTCAGGGTATTTGAAAAGGCATATAGCCTACCCCTTTCCCATCAGGGAAACAACGCCAAAAGAAGTCGGGACGCGGTCGGCCAACAGCATCTTTGATTGCATCAGTGATAACAGCAGTTATAAACACGGAAAACAGAAGACCTGAATGTTCATACAATAAACATTTGCTCAAATGTTTTCACCAAACATACAGATGAACAAAAACAAGCAAATCCCAAAATCTCAAAGGGAGAACAATTCGATTACCTAAGATAGCATGGTGTAGATCATAAACATCTCTTCTGATGAAGTAGTAGACTATGATAATACCAAGTGGCAATAACACAGCAATTATCTGCAACAAGAAATTTGACCAGAGAAACGTTATAGTGCTTTTTGCAATGGTACACTAAATTTATCAGTGTTTAGCAACTCGGATTCCGAACTTTAAGCTTTTGCAAATGGGACCCTAAATTTGAAATTATGTTGCAACTATAGTCAAAGAGTTAACAACCATCGATTCATGCATGGCAATGCCTCCATGATTTCGCACAAGTGCATCGGAAACTTTTCTCTCATTGACAAGTTGCACCTTGAACTTTTTAATTTTGACAGCACCCTAATTGTCATCCTTTAATGACTTCCACTATCAGTTAGGCTGCAAATTTACAGTCCTAAAATCCAAAGATTAAAAGCTTAGAATCCAAGCTACAATTGACAAAAAATTCATCGTGCAATGGTCCAATTTAGCCTACATTAGATCCTAGCAGTTAGTTGACAATTCGGACCTTGAACTTTTAAATTTTAGCATTGAGATCCTAATCTTCGTCTTATCTATTAGACTGCATCACCAAGTCTTGTCAAACTTAGGCCTCGTTCATTTCACCGATTCGAGTTTTCAGTTTTAAATTTTTATAGTAAAAAGCTCTCAGAAAATGTCACATCTAACTTTTTCTGCTACAGTGAAAAGCTCTCAGAAAATGTCACATCTCAGCTCGAATTGAAAACTCGAATCCGTGAAGTGAACGAGGCCTTAATGTCCTAAATGCCAAAATTATGAATTTAAAATCTAATTTGCCAATGACGAAAAATTCATTGTGCATTGCTGCAATTTAGCCACATTACATCCTAGCAGTTTCATCATATTTTCACAATCAAAATGAAAAGAGTTTTTCCACAATATAAAATTTCTCAAAAGGAAAAAAGAACCTACTGGAACACCCCAGAAGGGCACTGTATTGTCTTGCAATGGGTATTTGAGGTCGCCCATCATGTCCTCTCCAACAAAACGGTGAAAAGGTTCTATTAAGTTCAGACCAAGATCCAACCCAGCAAGAAACACCAGTATCAACCAATCATGCCAATGAATCTTCAACACTTGAACTCCATGAGATCTTACTGTGTGAGCACCTAGCTGAATATCTGGCATTTTTTTTCCTCACTAACTAAACACAAAACTACACATAAATAGGCTAATCTGAAAAAAGAAATGGAAAATCTAATTATTATTTCAAAATGAGATATGAAATTAGCAAAAGCAAGTAAGCTAAATGCTGAAATCTGCTCAACAAACTTCTGAAGTAACAATGCATGGGAAATTCTGCCAAAAAAAAATGCATGGGAAATGACTTAAATAATTATATTAAAAAATAAAATAAGAAATTGGATAAAAAAAATCTAGTAAACAAAGAGAGAAAAAATTACTCAAATGAAGGCTCTACCGATAAGTCGGGGAAGTAAAGTCTGAGTTGTTCCGACTGATTTGTCGCGGAAACAAAAAAGCAGAGCGGAATAAAAGAAATCCTACTTTCTCTCAGTTTTTCTCACGAAACAAACAGACGATTAAGCAGGAAAAAACAGAAAGCAAAAGGATTTTCCACAATGAGTAAGAAGATAAACTTAGAATTCAATCAAAATGTACTTAAATACACATAAACATAAAAAGGAAAAATGTTTCGGAAGGAGAAACACGCACTGTCGTAAAGCTTAAGAAAACGAAAAAAAGAAAAGAAAAGAAATGGAGTAAAAGAGATTCCGAGAAATTTCTATTCCAAGAAAGATAGGGAAAATGGGAGAGGCATTTATTACCTTGCTCTTCTTCTTCTTCTTCTATCTATAATCTATAATTCAAAAAAGGGAATGAGAGCGAATTTGACCGACTGCGACTTCCAGATGTAATGCAAAGAGACAGAAAAACAAGGAAAAAGCGCGTGAGTTTCACGCGGAAAGAGAGAGAGAATTAAATTACGGAAATCGCAAATAATAGGCACAAATGTTTGGTGGTGTTGTTGTTATTATTATTTATAATTATTATCATTATTGTTGTTATTATTATTATTATTATTTACTTGGTTTGGATTTTAGTTTTGCAGGATGCGGAATTTCGGATTTGTTTGTTTGTGTTGCAATTTGTAGTTTAATAGGAATTTTGGTTGGCACGATTTGGCTAGGGGAGACAGGGACACGAGGAGAACAAAAAGAAGGAAAAGGCAAAGCATTGGGATTTCTTTTTTACTAATAAATAAAATAATAAAGAATCTTATCTTCTTCAAAATTGATTTTGTTTTTCTTACAGTCCCCCCACTTCAAATGGAGGACCTGTCCTCCATAATATATCAGCCATCAATTTTGAAGCGTGGATTGTTTCGGCTTGTTTGTAAAAAAACTTTTTGTGAATTAAGCTTTAGATGGCGTTTGGTTCCTGGATTTAAACTATGTGATTAGAATTATTTTTAATTTACGTGTATTTTTTATGAGAGAAAATATTATAGTGAACCACGAATCATGATTTGAATCAAGGAACGAATCTAGGTACTAAACGGACTCGATTTAACTCAAGTTTTTAAATTCAAACTCAAGTTAATAAATAATATTTTTTTTATTTTTGAAAATGCTATAACTTTTTCATTTTAATTTCGATTAAGATTATTCTTTTTTTATGCGTTCACAGCGAAAAGACGAATAGAACCACACATATTTACCCTATTAAAAATTTTTATCATCATTGACATTTTATTAAAATACTATATAAATACAGACTCAAGTTTTAACCCACCCAAACATAAACTCAAAAAGATTATCAGCTCAACCCATAACTTAAATATACACAACCAAATAAAAACTCAAGTTACAACATTAACTCAAGTTATAACTCATATTTAACTCAAGATCTACACTCAAGTCACCATAACTTGACTGAACAAGCCTTCATTCCTTACAAACACAATCTGATGGTATAAGTCTAGGGATATCTAGGGGTAAAAAATAACGGAAAAATTGAAACCGATTGCTGAACAGTGTTCCTGGTGCAAAAGAAAAGGTAAACAATGGGCCCGTTTAGTTCACTGATTCGAGTTTTTAATTCGAGTTGAGATGTGATTTTATATGAGAGCTTTGTTACTGTAGCAAAAAAGTTAGATGTGATTGTTTCTGAGAGCTTTTTACTATAGCAAAACTCAAATTTTAAACTCGAATCGGTGAAATGATATTATGAAGCCGACCTTTTTTTATTATATATATTTAGTTTTTTCTTTCGGTTCTCTTTACGTTAATTTATTGTTTTTCTTGCTGATCAAATTTTTGTCACATTAGTTAGAATTGCTTCATTACTTTTAATATGATATTATGACTTTTAAATTTTTTAAAAAATTTTAAAATGTGTGTGAATATTTTTGTCAATTTTAAATTTTCTGATTAATATTTCTCAACATTTAGATAAATTAGAAATATGATATCAAAAGGAAAAATAACCTAATAATTAGCTCCCTTATATATATATATATATATCTATCTCCACCAAAGAATGTTTTGATTCTTACTCAGTGTAGATCCCTCCGTTAGACAAATAAAAAAAATCATGACAATTTAAAAAAAAAAAAATAAGGAAAAAACGTTTAAGATTTTTTCTAAAGTTGTTCCGTGACTGGTTTTCTATAGTTCTGTTTGAGAAGTAATAAATCTCTTTAGTTAGATATTTTAACATCCAAATGGTTTTTTTTTTTCAATTCAAAAAAATATAAATATGGTTGGATTGGTAGAATGGTAATTATACATAATTGTTTAGAAATCACCCCTACTTCTATGATAGTTCTATTTTTGTTTAAAATTTTTCGTTAATGTTTCATTCTTCAACGCCACCAATATAGTTTTGAGATCGAAGAACAATGCATTATAAAGGTCATAATTTTTGTAATTTTGTACTTAATCATAAATCGAAGTTGAGCATGTTCAAATCAAACTATTATATGATCTATACTACGACTTTAACTATTTCGAATAAATACATCAAACTATTCAAGGAAATTTCATAAATTGACAAGTCTTTCATTTACAAAGTTTACTATGTTAAGTTATCACAACTACGCTTCTTGTGCTTTACCGCTTATACATGCTAATTTTTTTATGTTGATTCCAACCGTATAAAATGGCGTAAATTACAACAAAGGATTCAGCAAAGTGCCCTTATAAACATTACAAAGAAACTCCTGCTACAGTACTTTTAAGATTGCAAATTTACAACCTCTAATATTTTATACCCAATCACACATCTGGATACGTGGAAGGACTCATGTTTTTTATATACAACCGGATATAACCGGTTTTTTCCTTTTTCCTTTTTCCCATTTATGGGTACAAAAGACGCTTTCTTATTATATAATATATTTTGAAATACTTGTGCTTTCAGAAATGAAATTGGGATATTTTAACGGTGCGTTTGAAATTATTTTTTAGATATTTTTGTATTTTTTTGAGATATAAAAATGAAAATAGTTTACAAATCGTGTTTGTTTAATAAAAATTTTAAAAACAGAAACAAAAATAAAAAAACAATGAAAATAAATTTTGTGAAGAAAATAAAAAAAAGTTGTTTTCTCTTTTGCATTTTCATTTTCTAGTATTTATCAACAAAATTATATTAAATAATTAATTATTAATTATTAATTATTTATATATTAATTAATATTTAATAAATATATATACTTAATAACTAATAAATAGATAGTAATTACTTAATAATTAATTAAATATTAATTTATTACTATTAAGCTTTTAAAACTATTAATAAAATAATATAGTAATTAATTATTTAGTTAAAGATTAACTATCAAAAATTAATTGTGTAACATATTAACAATAAAACAAGTAATAATAGGTTATTAATTAAAAAATAATTAATTAATATGTCAATCATATATTATGTTAATTATAATCTATTAATTAGTAAATAGTTGGTAAATAAAAAATAAATTATAATTACTCAATTAATAATTAATATTATATTATAATTATCAAATATGTAATATACTAATCAATAATAATTAATAATTAGTAATTAATCATTATAAACAGAATAATTACCAAAAATTGAGCATGTCATATATCAAATAATAGATTATTAAATAAACACTAGTAATTAATTAACTAATTATTTAATTATGTAACTAAAAATTAATAATTTAAGTAGTGAATGGAATGTTAATAAATTATGTATAAACTAATTATTTTTCTTAATATACTAATGAATTACTTATAATATAATAAATATGAGTACATTATTAACATATTAATTACTTATAATTAATTACTAATTACTATTTTTTAATTATTCAGCATATTAATTTATTATATATATAGTTTAATTACTAATGTACTCATTAGTGATAATTTATCCATTATTATTATATTATTAATATATTAATTTTTATTTGCTAAATAATTATCAATTATTAATTACTTAATATATTAATTTAAGATTATTAATTACATGTACTCAAAACAAACATAAATGTAACCAAACACGAGTTCACTTTTTTATCATACTCAAATCAATCTCTTGAAAGACCACCAAAAGTAATTTCAGAATCGATTCCAGAATGATTTTCAAAACAATCTATTTTTTTTTTGGTACCGAAAACAAAACCATTTTGAAAACATTAACAGACGGGCTGCCATTTTTCTATTTTTTCCACTGTCCCTCCAATCATTTTTTTAAAACACAACCCTCCAATTAATTTTTTATATGTTATTAATTGCTTATATCCATATTCATATTCATGTTACCAGATTATTATATATGTGCCTCTATTCACACACTATTTTTACTTTTAATATATCCTTTCTAAACACACAGTTATATAACTTTAAAAAGATTACACACCTTTATTATTTTAAAATTACCCTTAACTATTTGCATAAAATTATTATTTCTTTAAGACTTCATTTTTATTTTCACATCCTCCACTTCATTTTAATTAGGAACTTTAATATTTTCATTTTTCTAATGAACTTTAGTATTTTCATTTTTCTATCTCTATTTTTTATTGAAACATTGGGCATAAAATTTTTTAATACAAAAAGAAAATTCACTATTACATTTTCTAGAAAAATAAAGGACATTCAATAGAGAAAATTTACTATAACACTCCTAAATATCAACGTTAAAAAAAATGTAAATTTACGATTAAAAGTTTTCTATAGTAAATGTCCTTTATTTGTCTAAGAAAATGTATTAGTAAATTTTCTTATGCGTGAGAAAAGGCTTCATGCTTAAAGGTTCAATAAAAAAATAGAGAAATGATAATATTAAAGTCATGAACTAAAATGAAACGGAGGGTGTTGAATACAAATAAAGTGGTCAAGAATTAACAATCCTATGGAAATAGTTAAAAGATAGTTTTAGAACAATATAAGTGTGTAAAAAATAAATTTAATTATGTGTGATGTGTAATTAAAAAGGAAAATAGAAGTAAAAAATAGTGCGTAAATAAAACCACCCTCATTATTTTTACATGACATCATAAATAATTATTTCATAAACAATTAACATCAAGAAGACAGAAAATGGAGACTCGCTGGATGGACATTAGAGATTTACACCAATTACTCCCACTAAACGGAATAAGAATATGAGAGAATGAATGAAATGAGAAATATGAGGTTAAGGCGGCAAATTTCATTTAATTTTTCTTTTTTAGGAGTCTTAAAAGATTGCCTTTTCTTAAAAACTATGAGATTTTTTTTCCCCTGAATATAATACCTTGTTATCTTAGTCGCCAAGTCATTAGTTCACAATGTCATCCTGCATGACTGCCGAAGTCATTCACTAAGAGTATGTTTGGTAGGAAAGAAAAGTAGAAGAAAGGAAGAAGGTGAAGAGATTTTGGGAGGAAAAATAGAAATGTAGGTTGTTTGGTAGGAGAGAAAAGAGAAAGGAAGAGAAATTGAGTGAAAAATAATACATGTAGGCCCCACTATTTTTTTTCTTTCCACATGTGGACAGAAAATGGAATGGAAAATGGGGACAACTCATTAAAGTGAGCAAAGTTACTAAACTACCATTTTCTCCATCAACATCCAAGCAAAAAATTTAAGGGTATAAAAATACTTTACGAGGAAGATTTTTTCTTTCCTCCCAATTTAACTTCTAATACCAAACAAGTGAAGGTAAACTCATTTTCTTTCAATCTTCTCATACCAAACAACATAAAAGAAAATCAATTTCCTTTCCATCATTGCTATTTTCCATCACTTTCATATTTTCTTTCGATCATATTTTCTTTCCTTCCTACCAAACATAGCATAAGTGACCACCGGTTATCCGCTAAAGTTTGTCATGTTGAGGATTGTCACTGGAGTCAATTGTTGATGGGAAAATAGATAAATATTCTTTAAAAATGTACGAGTCTGGATTTCTACATTTTAATCTTGATTAATACTTTTTTTTAGTCAAATACCTAAACTAGTAAATGAGTATTAATAAAAAAATGAGGGATAAAAATTCAAACTCATATATTCTTAAAGGTAAATAATGTAATTTTCTCATTGTTTGTTTTGTTTTTGTGTTTTGTTGATATCAACGTGTAACAACGGTCGTCATTCTCAATGGAGTCACACACTGGATGAGGACTAGTCTCCTTTAGCACTGATCATAAAGTCACTCAATGGATGACCACAAGTCATCAATTGCCGAAATAAACAGGTAATCATCGGTCACCGCCAAAGGGTCTTATTGGAACCCGGATTACTTATAGCTAGTATATTTGAACCATTCATAGTCGACAAAGCGAACTTGGCTAGCATGTGAACAACGCCATTCTAGAACAAATAATGAAAGCTATAAAGTCTCACCACGAACCTGAACACAAAAATTTTGGTCCTTCATCCTTGGATATTAGATTGAAAAAAAAAAAAAAACTATTATTTATAGCAATAGTCCGGCATTACAAATCAACCCAAAGAATATTAGAAATAGTACTGGTAATTCTCCCTTCTTTTTCTTCATCTTTTTTTGAAATAATGCATGTGGAAAGTCAGATAGTGAATTACGCGGGCAAATTATTCATATTTGGTGTTTTTTGTTTAAGGTTCCTACTTCTTGGAGTAAACTTAGTGGAAACAATTTATTAGGAACTACACTATTTTGATATAGAGGTTGCGTTTGGTAGTGCTCTTAGAACTAAAAATCACTTCTCTAGCCATAAAAAACTGATAATAGTGTTTAGTTAAAACTATAAAAAGTGATTTTTAAAATTTTTTTGAAGAATCTACAACCAAAATAAGAAGCAGTCCAAAGACAACTTTGACTTTTAGATTGTGCGGGAATCAACATAGTACTATTAATGGTTATCAACAAAGTTATATTAAATAATTAATTATTAAGTACTAATTATATTATATATTAATTAAAATATTAATTTATTACTATTAAGTTTTTAATTTTGTTAATAAAATAATAAATAATATAGTATTTATTTATTTAAAGATTAATTGCCAAAAATTAATTATATAACATATTAACAATAAAACAAGTAATAACAGGTTATTAAATAAATAATTAATAAATAATATATCTATCATATGTTATGTTAATTATAATCTACTAATTAGTAAATAGTTGGTAAATAAAAAATAGATGGTAACTACTCAATTAATAATTAATATTAAATTATAATTATCAATATGTAATATATTAATCAATAATAATTAATAATTGATAATTAGTAATTAATCATTATAAAAAAAATAATTACTAAAAATTGATCATGTGATATATCAAATAATAAATTATTCAATAAACATTAGTAATCAATTAGCTAATTATTTAATTATGTAACTAAAAGTTAATAATTTAAATAGTAAAAAGAATATTAATAAATTATGTATATACTAATTATTTTTCTTAATACACTAATTAATTATTTATAATCTAATAAATATGAGTACATTACTAACATAATAATTATTTATAATTAATTACTAATTACTATTTTTAATTATTTAGCATATTAGTTAATTATATGTATAATTTAATTACTAATCTACTCATTAATGATAATTTATCAATTATTATTATATTATTAATATATTAATTTTCATTTGCTAAATAATTATCAATTATTAATTACTTTATATATTAATTTAAGATTATTAATTACAGTCATCTTAATTAGCTACATCAATTCAACCTCACAATTTACCAAACGCTGTTACACGGCTTTTGGAACTAGCAACACTTGTATAATTATAATTTACCAAACACTTCATTATTTTTTGTAACAGCTACATTTTCCTTCAACACAGTTAAAATTAATTTTTTTTCAAAATTTACAGCATTACCAAACTGGCTCGAAGTCACACAAGTTTGACTAAAGAGTATTCAGGAAAAAAAAGGAAACTAATTTTTAAAACCGATAAAACTGACCATCAACACTCTAAATTTGGAGCAAAAAGACAATTTTTCCAATTAAGGGGAAAATTTTATATAGTAGGATTTTGACTAAAAATTACAGCCTATAACTCAGATGTTATAATTTTAAAGTTGCAACATTTTAGGTGTATTGCATATATAATTATCTTTCAAATCAAAATTCAGAGAAGAGTGTCAAATAAATAATAACAGAGTACCAGATAAATTCAGAGAAGCATGGGAGCGTAATACCCTGCATCTTCTTGTTTTGCTTCAGCACCACAAAACCTGTAACTTCATGATTCCTAAACAAATAGTAAACGATAAATGAGACTCCGAAAAATCATCTAATACATACTACAGGCACCATGCGGAAAACATTATAGTCTGTTAGCTATTATAGTGTCTAATTTTTTTTTAAAAAAAATCTCTCAAAGATGACGTCTAAGTATCAAATACATACTACATGCACTATGCGGAAAGCACTGCATGGTGACGTTTTGTTTATAGGTTCAGAATCATGGTTCATAATTCTAATTTTTAAAATTTAAATTTTTTGTGAGAGAAAAACATTGTAGTAAACCAATAACCATAATCCTAAACTAAGTCAAAACCCTCGAAACAAACGGAGCATAAATAATTGTAAAGATTGGAAATGTGAGATGCCAACTTTTTTTTATCATGGATGACGTCTAGTTTATGCATCTCTTTAGACGATTTGTAATCATGTAATAATTCTTTCCTTATTCCCAAAATATTTGAGTCATGAATTCAAATATCGTATCCGTGAAGTTATTCTTCTAACACTTAAAGTCACACAAGTTTGACAAAAGAGTATTCAAGAAAAAAAAAAAACTAATTTTTAAGCCGATCAAACTGATAATTAAGACTCCAAATTTAGAGTGAAAAGTCGGAGTTTTTCCAATTTAAGGAAAAATTCTATAGTGAGAATTTGGCTAAAAGTTTCAGCGTATAACTCAGACGTTATAGTTTTAAAACTTCAACATTTAAGAAAAATAAATGTTCAAATATTCATTGACGCATTTTATCAAGCATCTAAGAGGCAACCTCAATGTCCCAACTCTATGTGCATAAAGAATTTTTATGTAAGATTAAAGAAATAATAGGAAAGAGAAGCAGGCGAGTATAATACCTTGCATCTTCTTCTTTTCCTTGAGCGCAACAAAATCTCTAACTTCATGATTCCTACATAATATAATTAAAAGAGATATTAAGATTAATAGCAAGTGTTAAGTAACATGTATGAACTAACTAAAAATCTGATTTGACTAATGAGACAATGAATAATTGACCAAAATTCCTCGTCGAAATGAAGCTATTATCAAAACAGGGAAAATTTTGTTATTTTTTCTCAACCAAAGTTGTCAAAAATGAAAAATCAAAGTAGAAATAAATACTCAATAGTTTCTTAATATCATATACCCGAGGACCATTTCCAAAGGGATCCACTGGCGTGGTGGATGTACACATCAAGACTAGGTCCACATCATTACAGAACGTGTAGTCTTAAACATGCTTGTAAAACTATTTGATTACGTAATTGAAAGAAAGGGGGAAAAAAAAAACAAAAAGATTGGAAATTTGAGACGCTAACTTGTTTTAATCATGGATCACGTCTAGTTTATATATTTCCTTAGACGATTTGTAATCATGTAATAATTTTTTCCTTTATCTCTAAAACATTTGAGTCATAAATTCAAACATCATATCCGTAAAGCTATTATTCTAACACTTGAAGTCACACAAATTTAACAAAAGAGTATTTAGGGAAAAAAAAAACTAATTTTTAAATTGATCAAACTGACAATCAACACTCTAAATTTGGAGTGAAAAGTCTGAGTTTTTTCAATTTAAGGGAAAATTTTATCATGGGATTTTGATTAAAATTTTCAACGTATAACTCAGACGTTATAGTTTTAAACTTTTAGCATTTAAGAAAAAGAAATGTTCAAATATTTATTGACGCATTTTATTAAGTAGCTAAGAAGCAACCTCAATGTCCCAACTCTATGGGCATATAGTCACCTAGGCGTTATGACTTTTCCACAGAATTCTTACCTAAATTTTAACGAAAATTAGAATCTTATATATGCAACGTAATCAATATAATAATTCCAGACAAGGAAGCATACTCCAAAGGAAACATAAAATTAAAAAAGAATTTTAGTGCAAAAATGCATTTATTTTACCCTTTTTATTTATGCAAGTGGCCTAGGTGTTAAACATTAAAACAACACGGACAGATCCTCAATATTCGACTCCAACTTTAGGCGCACATGTTTCAAATCAAATTCAGATAAGAGTACTAAATAGATAATAGGAGGGTCGTTCTTGACAGCAGCCGATTCCTCATCCTTAATCACATAATTAATCATTGGCATGCATATACCAACCCAACTCCAATCCTTTTCACAATCGAATCACAATTCTCATTTTGCGGCAAAAATCCAGACTTAAAATAGAATGATGCCTCTATTGCATCAGGATGTTCGTTGAACAAGTCACTGGGGCCGTATTGCACGAACACATGGTCCGAACTAATATCACTACTTGTGATTTTATCCTCCTCATCATCACGGTGGATCTCGAAATCACCACGATTGTTGACATATTTGTGGATTTGACCGCACTTGGTTTTAAGATGTAAGTCAGACGTAATTTCTACATACCGATAGTACTCGGAAGAATAGGAGCCTGCGCCTTCTGGGATTAGTGGAGCAAGAATGCAAATGGCAAAACCCATCAAATTGGAATTATGCCAACCATGGAGAAGCTTCATAGTTGTTGAAATCCTCTCATCTTGATGCCTGAACCACTTTGGAATTTCATTTCCCGGATAACATACTTTAATTGTATGACATGTTCCTTCCTACATCACCAGACACCAATATACATGAATAATAGTGTATTAATGTTGATTACTTCAATCTTCAAATTACTTCTCTTTTTTATATAAAAAATAAATAAATAAAAAAAGAAAGAAAGAGAGAGAGAGAGAGAGAATGAAAATACATACATACGTACCAATTTCAATTTATCAGCTCTGTATAAGACATCACTTAAAATGTTGCGTGCATTCCGTCCTAGTTTCCAGCACTTTCTGAACTCAAATGTAATGAAAGGGTGAGTCACATGCTGCGTGTTGAATCCACACCACCCCGAACTTGATATTGTCTCCAGAGAAGTACATCCACTTGCATTAAGAAGTCTGATAGACGATGGAAGTTGTGGCAAAGATCGAAGCTTCTTGCAATTTTCATTGTTGAGTGTGTCTAGCCGATGAAGTTGTCTGATGCTTGAAGGTATATTCTCAAAAGGGTTCCCGCTTAGATCTAACCAAGTTAACGAGGATAAAAGGCTCAGCCAAACTGGAATTTGTACTATATTGCAGTTACGTAGATCTAGCCGGTCGAAAGAGAACAATGAAAATTGTTTGACTTGGAAATGTTCAGGTTCCAAACACCCATGGCGGGACAAGAATTTTAAACAGCTTAAATAATAAATCAATTTTGAGACAAACTCGAGTTTTCTGCGCCAACTCATATCTTGACAACGGAGCCCAAAAAACTTTTCAATAATAATTGTGTTGTGGAACACTTGGATCCCTGTGAATTTTTTGAATCGTGAATCCCAAAGATCAAGGTGTTTAAGAGACTTCAACTTAAAAATGTTGGTTGGGAGACTCTCGAGCTTTTTGCATCCTCCAAGAACAAATTTATTTAGACAATCAAGACCCTCAATTGAAGATGAAGACACTTGTTCTATTGATGAGTCTTGCAAATTCAATATTTCTAGATTTCTCGGAAGACTTGCTTGAAGATGCTTGATATGTTGACAACCACTGAGGCTCAATTTCACAAGATTTTCAAGACACAATTGATAAGGGTGTATCTTTTATTCCAGTCTCATCTAAATTTAAGTATTTGATATTCCCCGATATCTTTGGGAGTGATTTAATCTTAACGTAGCCACATAGTGTAAGAGATCCAAAACATCCTTGGAAATTGAGGGGAGGAACTTCAACTAAATTTCTACAGCCCTCAAGATTAATACTTTCTAGTTTTGGAGCTCGAGATAGATCTGGAAGTTTGATCAGCTGCTTAAAATAACCAAGATTAATACACTTCAAATTTGCAAGGTTCTACAAGAAAAATAAAAGTAATTTTGTAAGCCCCGATAAATTCATGAATAAAAATGTGATTTTATGACAATTTGGATTATGAATTTCCCCTTTAGTACATGTCGTGATACTTTACTTGCAATAAGAGAATTATCATGTTATTTTATAATCAATTATGTAAGCATGTCTGAATAGGTGTGTTTTTAGTTCATGAATTTAAATTGTACATGAGATCTTTAGAATATAACTTTGTTAAAGATTTTTATCCCTGCTTAGTAATATTAAGTTAGAACGATTTATTAGGAATTCTAAATGTTCCAATTGATCCTAAAAGATCACGCATGGTAAAACCTCAAATGTCAAAATGATAAATGACATTAAGGTCTCGTTCACTTCGTAGATTCAAGTTTTTAGTTCAAGCTGAGATGTGATATTTTCTGAGAGCTTTTCACTGTAGCAGAAAAAGTTAGATGTGACATTTTCTGAGAGCTTTTTACTGTAGAAACCTATAACTGAAAACTCGAATCGGTGAAATGAACGAGGCCTAAGAATGCATAAAGTTCCATGAGTATTACCTAGGTTATTAAGTTATTTAATTCACAAGGATTAAATTCAATCCACAGCATGAATAAAGGAAGTTCCTAGCTAGGATATCCGTAAACACATATGGCATGTTTACCTACGCGTAATCGGAATGAATATAAATCGGAGTGGACAGGATTCAGAGTGGGTAGGATTCGGAGTGAGGAATCGGAGTCAGAATAAGCTGTTTACTTAGTAATAGGATTCGGAATCGGAGTCATTCCAAATCTCATTCATACGTTTACTTACACTCAGAATCAGAATAAAAAAGTGTAAAAGTATTAATAAACCCTTTAAATCAATTTGATATTTTCAATTTAAAAAATATATTGTGTACTTATTATATTAAAATTAATCGATATTAAAATATTTAGCATAATAATTGGGTACTAAAATAATAAATATAAATTGTACAACTATTTAAAATATAAAAATAAATTTTAAAAAATTAAATAAAATAAATAAAAATAAAAAATAGTGTTAAAAAATAAAATATATTATTAATTTATTAAAAAATAAAGTACATATTTATTATATTAAAGTTAACAATAATTATGCTAATATTATAATATTAGACAAATAAAATAATAAATATATATTGCATTTATTATTTTTTGAATTTTAGTTTTAATTGTGTATTTATAAGTAAAATAAGGGTATAATAGTAAATTGATATTAATATTAGGAATAAGAGTCTTAATCCCAAGGGGGTGTATGGGAATGCCAATCCCATTCCTCAATCCCAAATTTTAGTGGGACCCATCAATCTCACTCCAATTTCAGGATAAAAAAAAAGTAAATAAACATGAGATTGACTCCCATTTCCCACTTCCATTCTTCAATCCTGGTAAGTAAACATGCCAATAAAGTAGACGAACTTTCTCAGTAATGCAAATCATACCATAAGATTCCAACTCAAGCCAAGTCCAAGGTTTGATTTAAAGTGACTGTCAGGTAGTCAATTTTGTCTGTGTAGATTTTTATCAGATATGATTTACACTAATTTATGTTATGTTGGTCTACTCGTCAAAATAGTTGAATTCCAACTTTTGAATTTTCTTGGACTTACAAACTAGTGGTCCAAAAACTCGGGTCGTTACAAATTTAGTAAGTAATTATTATTTTTTTAAATAAAAAACAATTGGTAATCATAAACATTTAATACATGATATTCAACTTATTAATTAATATTATAGCATACCTGTACACCACTCCAAAGTTGCTTAAGTTCGCTACAGGGCATGTCAAGTTCAACAAGATTTTTCCCCTTATAGTTTGATGGCAAAGATTTTAATGGGCAATTATACCAGCAAAGATATCTTAGGGAAGGAGGAAGAAACTGCAGACCTTGAGTAAGATATACTTTAAATTTATGATGATAGGAATGATTTGCAATGTATATCTTGAGCAATCTCAGTCTATGCATCTTGTTGAAAACCGTAGGTTCCAAGTGTAGATCATCATTAATCTTGGACGTATCAAGGTATATTCCTTCGATTTCTCCGGTTCCCTAGGAATTTAAATAAATGATAAATGAGAATATGAGTTATGAAAAATAAAAAGGAACAGTTCCTAAAACTAATTACGTATAGAGAGAGAGAGCGAGAGAGAGATATGTTGTTCTATAGTCGCTTAGAATTTGATACTCACTCCGTTGTTTTCTAGAACATTATAGACGTCCTAAGGAATCCACAACCGGCTACGCTGACCAGGATCTTTAATAGATTGTTGGCGAACAATTTCCCAACCCATCTCTTGTATCAAATCATGCATCCAAACTCCACCGTCATTAATGGTAATGAGAGACTTGTTTATGAGAACTTCAATCCCCGAACTTGCAAACAAATCACAATTATCTAGTATGCTCTCTATAAAATCTCTTCTCTCCCATTTAAGAAAACATGCAATATCAAGGAAAATATCCCGCTCCTTATCATCTAGCCCATCATAATTTATTTTCAACACCTTTTGAATGCCTGAATTGGGAATTATTTTTAGTTTATTCCATGTGTGTTCCCAATATTCTACGGTTTGAGAATGAAGGGAGGAACCTAAAATTTTAAGAGCAAGCGGATTGCCTCCAGTATAAGTTACTATTGCTTCCAACAATTCAATAAAACGTGTTATGGAGGGCTTTGTTTTAAAGGCATTCAAATAAAAGAGTTCAAGTGCTTTCTCGAAATCTAATGGCTTAACTTGGTGTATTTCGTCGGCATCCTTTTTAAGAAGTTGTGCATCTCTAGTAGTTATGATGACTTTACTTCCTGGGCCAAACCAACTGACATCTCTTAACAAACAGTCCAGCTGCCTTATATCATCAACATCATCAAGAACAATGAGCATCGTTTTATTGTGGAGCCTATTTCTCACAAAGCTGTTGATTGAACTTTCTAGATAAGGCAGTCCATGGTTTTTTGAATTTTCCCTAACATTCTCAAGAAAGCAGCAATTTTCAAATCGATATGAGAATCGATTGAAAATTTCAATGGCAAGAGTAGTCTTGCCGATACCACCAAGCCCCCAAAGGCCTATGACACGAGGATTTGGTAATCCAAAGCATAACAAGGATTCAATTTCCTCAAGTTGTTGATCTATTCACACAAGGCCCTTTGTATTAATATTAATTTGTGGCAATCGTTTAAATTTCCTCAATACATCTTTCAGAATCTTCTCAATTAATTCCGACTCATACCTAATATAAATAGAAGAGAAATAAATTAATACAAAAGAAACATATTACAAAATTAACAAAGAAAAAGCATGACAAATGAAGCATCTACATCTCCATCTAGTGAAACTTTCTAATTAAGACGTTTTTTTGTTTTTGTTTTTTTGTTTTTTTTCAAACATGATTTTGTGAAGAGAGAGAGAGAGGACAACCAGTCAAAGCATAGTTCAATTTAACAAAAAGGAAAGAAACGAAAAGAAGCAATCACTCACTCATCTTGTGAATGAAAGCCATATAGATCAGCTGCAGCAATCAAAGCATTTCTCCACTCCTTCACTTTGTTCGGCTCAAAACGTTTTTCGTGTGCAGCAAAGGCAATAGCATAACTCCCCTTCTGTTTCCTAATATCCGAAGGATCCATGTTGTAAAAGACGGGTAAAACAATCTGACCTCTTTCATTCTTGCATTTGAGAATGTGCACGAGCTCATTCAAGCACCATCTAGAAGAAGCATACTCTTTTGAGAAGACGACTATTGAAATCTTCGATTCCTCAATTGCTCTCGAAAGTGCAGGTGAAATTTCATCTCCTCTCTCGAGATTCTGATCATCTATGTGGGTTCGAATGTGTTTCCGGCATAAGGCAGAGTAAAGATGACTAGTAAAGTTCTTACGAGTGTCCTCTCTGAAACTGATGAAGACTTCATTGTCGATAAAGAATGAAGAAGCAACAATGGCCATATCCTTGGGAGGAAAAGAATGAGAATTTCTTCGCTCTTCTGTTGTGGAAGAAAGAAAGAAAGATGAATATTGTTTAAATGTAGAACTGCGTGACCAAGTGGTTTAGCAATTTCCTGGAAGGCAGAAAGAAGAAGAAGACCATCTTAAGTCAAAAGAAGAAGAACAAAGGTAGGTGTGGGTCTTTAAATTATTATTTTTATTATTAGTAGTGTTGTTTTATTTTTATTTTTTCTTTTGTTACTGTAATGAAAAAATCTCTCCTCTTGCCCTTACTATTTTGGGTTCTTCAAAATTGCAACACGCTAGAGCCAGTTTAGTACATATATATGTGTGTGTATGGGAACAAAAGAAAGAAAAATGCTTAAGACACCACCATATAATAAAATGTGGGCTCCACTTATAAGTCTCACGTTGCGAGATCCATTTTTTTTAGATGATGGTGTTTAGCACCGATAGTACCTTATAGCATTGCTCGAAAAAGCATCAAAAGACGGGGAATTCAAGGCTTAACTTTTCAATGGAGCATCATTTCTACATATCAAAATTTTCATACGACCTGTCAGCAAAAATGCACGGAAAAAGAAGAAGGAAAGAAATTACAACGCAAAGGCCTTACCTGAGACAAGGGCATATGTGGCTTACAAAGAGTGGAAAACTTTGAACTTACACTTGCTTATGCTTTGCACACTATCATGAATCTTTATGCATCCATCTACAAGGTATGACCGAAGCCTCTTTGTTTCATTAGCCTTAATCACGTTTTAAGTAATACAGATGTCATGTCTATGTGATCATTGAAGAATATTAGAATTTTATGTGGTAAAAAATAAAACTAAAATCTTATTGGTCAGTTTTAAAGAAGATACTACCTACCGATAAGTAAATATTCGAGTAACCATTAAAATTATATGTGTGTGTGTCAGTGAAGAGTTTTACCTATAGGATTTTATGAATCTCATAAAAAAGACCAAATACATGGAAATGGTTTCGACTTTCAAGCCCATTCCAAGGGTCAACCATAGCTAGTGAGAATCACAAGCAACCAAAAAAAAAAAAAAAGGAAAGAAAGAAAGGCATAAAGATTAACAAGGACATTGATAATTCTAGAAACTCCATTTTGAATCGTCATATTAAGTTGTTGTTAATGTTATATGTAATGTTTTATTTTGATGTGATTGTGATCAGATACAATAACGTATTATAAATTAATACAAAAGAAGCATTACAAAATTAACAAAGAAAAAGCTTGACAAACGAAGCATCTACATCTCCATCTAGTGAAACTTTCTAATTAAGACTTTTTTTTTTCAAATTACATTCCGGAACCCAAATAATCAGACATGATTTTGTGATTCTACTCAAAGAGAGAGAGGCCAACCAGTCAAAGCATAGTTTAATTTAACCAAAAAAAAAAAAAAAAGTAAAAGAAAAGAAGCAATCACTCACTCATCTTGTAAAATTAAAGCTAGAAAGATCAGCTGCATTAGACAATAGTCTACAGCTAGATGGGAACATTTATTAAAATAGTTTAGATGAATGAGACTGAGAGATTGGCTCTAGCAACACCTACTAGATACTTAAAATCTTTGTTTATATTGCATAAAAATTCAATTTTTGGGGGAGAAATATAAATTTCTATCCGGTGTCCATTACAAATTAGGAATATCAATTGAGGTTATGTCACGCCCGAAAATAAGAGTTAGTGACGTGGAGGGTCGTTTAGAAGTTAAACATGATTAAGAAAGTAATTAAACATTTAAAAACATAATAATCAAAATCAAAAGTAAAATATTAAAGAAATTTCTAAACAAACCCCACATTTTACTGAAATTAGTTTACATGAAAATGATGGGGACTTTTCACACTTTTCCGAAAAACAAGTCCTAAACTAAGCCTCTGGAATCATTCAGGGTTCATCTACAAGATATACAATATTGTACATACATGAACATACAAATAACATTACAGACATCAACCACAGTCTCGATATTCGAAGTTTACAGTCTAAGAATTTACAGTCCTTACATTTTCGACAAGGATGAAAGAGTGCAATGTCCTCACTTGATCAGACGGTAGCAACAAATTTATCTACTCAGCGCTGCTTCTAGCGTCGCCTGGGAGGGGTTTAATATTTATAGAAGCAAACAAAACATGAGCATAAGGTTCAGTAGGATGTATTTTGTTGAAATGAACCTTATAAACAAGTAAATAAATGAATAAGTAAATAAATATATTCAATTCCAACATAACAGCCAGAACCTAACATCCATTTTTCTGAAAGGAAGTATAAACTTTAAATTCCGTATTACAGGCATCAACAAGTAATTTATACTATGATAAATTACTTACACAATCACAAGCACAAACCTTAACACCATCGTAGTGGCCCAGTCCGGATTACGGGTTCTGCCCCCGAGGATACTCGTTGCATATCTTTTCTAGGCCATCAGCAGGTTTACCAGTTCGCATGATACCTTATCTTAAGAAATCGTTCATTAAAACTCTGAAATAGTTCTTTATAATTCCAATAGCTAAATTCAACCTACTGTGTTAAAATGTGTTTCTTTCGCAAACACGTCATTTTTTAAAACATTTGCAAGGTCAAAACTCTTTAAAACATGCTGTCAAAGAAAATGACAAGAAATCCTACCTGTCAGTTGCCAAACCTGTGGCTAGTCTCTCGTTACTTTAGCTTCCGCTTCCTTCAAAACCTTAATATTCAATCTTCTCCACTAGCTTTATCACAAAAGCAATGTCTTAGGATACATTTTTCATTCCGGCTTATTGGTTTGGTTTTCTATCTAATTCCGGCTTAAAAATTAAAATTCAATTTATTAGTTTGGTTTCCTATCTAATTCCGGCTTAAAAATAAGTTTTTGAAGAAATTTCGACAGTATACCGACATAAATAGGAAAAATATCAAACCTGCAATTCAAGTTCAATTTCACAATAAATTCTCCAGAAATCATCAAAAGCAGTTTCCAATCAATTCAATAAGTCTAATAACTGAAAATCCTTAAATTCAATTCAATTTTAACAACAATTGTTCAATTTCAAACCCTAACACAAAATTATTCAAATCTAACCAAAATCTCAAATTCTCAAATCAATAATTCAATTTTAAGTATGAGTTTTCAAGAAATTTTTACCACAAAATGATTAAAGCTCGCTTCTCTTTATTTCTCTCTGTTTTTTTTTTTAGTGTCTCCGCCGTACAACCGAGAGAGAGGGGAAGAGAGCCCGGAGAGAGAAGGCCGGCGGGAGAGAGAGAGTCCGGAGAGGAAGTGGCCGGCGTGGAAGGAATAAAAAAGAAGAGAGAGAGAGAGAGGTGTGCTGCCGTGAGAACCAGAGGAGAGAGAGGGGAAAAAGAAAAAGAAAGAGAGGCTGAGAGAGTTCTGGGCAGCCATGGCCCGTGGGAAGGAAGGGAAGGAAAAAGAAAGGCTGAGAGAGGAAGTGGCCCACGGGGAAGCGTGGGAAGGAAAAAGAAAAAAAAAAAAAAAAAAAAAAAAGAAAGAAAGAAAAGAAAAGGAAAAGAAAGAAAAAAGAAAAAAGAAAAAAAATTGAAAAAAGTAAAGGGAAATATATTAAGGTCTCGTTCATTTAATCGATTCGAGTTTTCTGTTTTAGGTTTTTACAGTAAAAAAATTCTTATAAAATGTCACATCTAACTTTTTCTGCTACAGTGAAAAGCTTTCAAAAAATGTTACATCTCAGTCTGAATTAAAAACTCGAATCTGCGAAGTGAACGAGGTCTAAAATTAAGTGTATTTTTAAAAAATTTTAGAGTGCAATTATAAGTACTAAAAATAATTAAAAATTCTTTAATTAATTGAGAAAATTAAATTAAATATATTAATAACTCATAATTTAATATAATTAAATATGTTTAATTTTAAAGGATGTTACAAATTATATTTGGTTGAATGGAAAAGCTCGAAAATCTAACTTACCAAAGACTTTCTTGTTAAAACTTGTGTGCATGTGTGAGAAAGGTCCAAATTTTCAAAACGAATCTTTAAAAAAAAATATGGACAATTAAAAACGAAGAATACACAAAATAGTAATTCCACATGTAAACTTCAAACCGATATGCGCTGCACCATTTTCAATATCTCTTTCAGTTTTCATATTCTTTTCTTGTTGTTGCTGAGACGCCTTTTACACTTTTTCCTTTCAAAATACCTTTAAAGAAAAGAAGGCAGAAACAAATTATTTGTTGATTAGAAGTTAAACTTAATTAAGTTACAAGAAAAGTTAATGCAGTACGCCTTATTACTCTTCTCCGATGGATAGGAACCTTAAAGGGTTAAAAAAAATTAATATTTTTGCTTCTTGTAAAAGCATTTGCAAGAATTTTTAGCTCTTCGATTGAACTAAAACATTTTATAATTTGAATTTCATAATAAATAACATTAAAAAATTAAAAATAAGAGTAGTTATATGTGGAATGCTCACTTAAAAAAATCCCCAGGATAAAGATTTTACAAATATTTGATTAAATTAAAATTATTTTCAATATAACCTTTCATGAGAAATATGTTAATTTTAGTGTAATTAGAGTTTATAATTAAATTTTTAATTAATTATAGTTAAGAAATATGTTATAATCATATTCATATTTTTTTAATAATTATATTGCATTTTAAAAATTCATTTAATAAATTTTCTATCCCCTGGTGTTTCTAGAAAAGGAAATGTCAGGTAAATATTATGAAATAAGTTTTGATCCTATGTATAGGAATTTCGTAAAAATTCCATTCGAAAAAGAGAAAGTTTGAAATAATTGGCATATCCAAATTAGTGTACTCGCTGATAGAATGCCACATCAATAAATTCATTAAGTATATAGATATAAGTGATCAGAAAGGGTATTTTGAGTAAATTTTTATAAATGAGAGGTGTTTTGAATAATTTTAAACAATCAGATATATGTCCATATTTCGAGAGGCGAATAACACAATTTTGACTTAATCTTAGATTTCAATAAATAATAAATGTTGTTTAGCCAGATCCTTATGTTTTGCAGTTAAAATGTGTTCTTTTCCTTTTACTTATGTTTTTTACATCTATTACTTGTCAGTCTCTTGTCAATCAAACATAAGATTATTGTTCTTTCTTCTATTTTCTTTTAAAAAATAGTCGGGGAAACTCTATACAAAAGCGTCACGGCATAAATTTTGACCAAATCATTATTAATATTTTTTTCCTAAATCATTAGTTAATAAAATAGAATTTGCAGTCACTAAAAAGATGTCATATGGCACCTTCAAAAAAAAAAAAAAAAAAAAAAAAAAAAAAAAAAAAGATCACATATGGCCAATTCCCCCCTTGGTGATACTGCATGCAGCTCAGGAAGGGACTAACTTTATGGTTTGTCATAATTTTATGTAGGTCAATATTTATATCATTTTAAATAATTATGTATTATAATAGTATTTTATTTTATTTTTATTAATTAAATGTTAATTATATATTTTTGAGTGAAGTGATATAAATAATATTTTTTTTACCATTTTGAGTAATATTTTTTATTCTTTCTCTATAATTTGGTCAGATTTTGTTTGGTCAATTTCACTTTTTTATTTTAAATAGAAAATAGAATATGTTCATATGAATGTGAGGAGTCTATCTCCATTTGATCTGTTAATGGAGCATCTTGGTCTTCACTATTAATCTGAACAGAACTTATTTATTAACTATCTCAAAAAAAAAAAATCAGAATCCAACACGTTAAATGGTTGACACCATTTATCTGTCTAATCCATTCAAATGACTATGAAATACATAATCACGACTCATTTTATTAGAATTACATATCTCGTTCATTTCACCGATTCAAAACTAAAATTTGAGTTTTACTACAGTAAAAAACTCTCAAAAATAGTTATATTTAACTTTTTTACTACAGTAAAAAATTCTCACATAAAGTCACATCTCAACTCAAATTAAAAACTCGAATCAACGAATTAAACGTGCCCATAATATGTCGAAATCTATCAAGAAAAGGAAATGACATAATAGACAATACGAAGGGCCATTTTTTAGTGTTAGCGTGCCAAACTTTTAATTTCTGCTAACTAAAGGACCAGTTACATAATAAATGAATGTACTAAATTATAAATAGTGAACTTTACAAGGACATGTCAGATAAAATATTATTTGCTCACCATTTGAGGTCCGTTTAGTTTGTTGATTTGAGTTTTTAATTTGAGTTTAGATGTGACTTTATATGAGAGCTTTTTACTGTAGTAAAAAAGTTAAATGTAACTATTTGTTAAAATTTTTTACTGTAATAAAATTCAAATTTTAAACTCAAATCGGTAAAATAAATGAAACTTCGATTGTTACAGGGAATTAGGACAATGTTATAATGACATTTTTACAAATATAAAAATAAAAAACAAAAATCAGATTACTAGGACAATGTTATAATGACATTTTTACAAAAATAAAAATAAAAAACAAAAATCAGATTACTGTAAAAGTAGCACGCAAAATGACATGAAACGCTTAGGTCAACTATAAAATTACATATAAACCATCGAAATAGTATCTTCGCAACCCATTACAACCGGTTGCAAACAATCATCCACCAACTTTGTATGTCAGACAAACTTCTACCCTCTCTGACAGTGTACACCTGACGTGTCGCCGGACCGGTTCGTCCGCGGAACTTAGACAGGCCCTAATATATAAAATGTAAAAACTATAGATAGATATATATATATATATATATATATATATTTATAGGCAAGGTCTCTGATCAGGCACTTGGAAAATGCCTGATCAGAACGGTACTTGTATATTTTTGTATAAAATGTGTATATTTACAGTAAGTTGTATATATTTACACGTAAGTTGTGTATATTTACATGACACTTGTATAATTGTGTAATCGTGTATATTAACATGTAAATCGTGTATATATTTAACATGAAATACAATAAATCAGTCAATATACATATTTTCATGCTATGTGTTCACTAATTGCTATAAAAAAACATATTTTGAGGATTAATATACATTGTCATTTCTTATAACTTAACATACATGATTTATATGTAAATATACACGATTTACATGTAAATATACACGATTGCACAATTATACAAGTTTTATGTAAATATACACAACTTACCTATAAATATACACAACTTACTGTAAATATACATACATCATACAAAAATGTACAAGTGTCGCTCTGGTCAGGCACTTTCTAAGTACTTGACTAGAAACCTTGTCTATATATATATATATATAGGAATGGTCTCCAGTCCGGTATGCAGACTGGAACGACACTTGTACATTTCTCTATAAAATATGTACATTTCTTCTTTAGAATGTGTACATTTCTTCTTTAGAATGTGTACATATTGTATATTTTACTATAAAAGGAAATGTACATCTTTTAAGAAAAAATATACACATTCTAAAGAAAAAATATACATATTTTACAGAGACATGTACAAGTTCCAGTGCCAGAGTAGAGACTTTGCCTATATATATATATATTCAACTATTTCAAAAGAAAAAAAACATATATATATAACATTTTAAATTAAAAAAGTACTTGTAAGCTTAAAAACTTGAAAATTTTTTTTTTTTTTTTTTTTGCGGAATGAAATTACTTTCACTAATGAATGCTTTCGTTTCATAGAGCTTTGTAGTTGGAGATGAATGCTATACTTCGAACTAAAGTTTATTATCTTCTACAAGTAATTGTTTCTATTTATTTTCAAAGTATCACCTAATTAGCTAAACTGGGAGAAAATTTTCCACGGAAAAAAAAAAAGATTTGGCTAGCAACATATGTCAATAAACCTTGCAGTGAAAAAAAAAATTAAACATGAAGAACAATATTTTACAAATAAATTCTTTTATAATACGTAAATATTGCTTATATATGTTGGTAATTATTACATATGAACTGTGCTGAAACTTTAGACGGGCCGCCCGTGACCACCGAAAAGTCTGAATTTTTGCCCGATGACTGAACCCGAAATGCCCAAAAATTCAGGTTCCCGACCCGACCTGAACATTGCCCATGGACGGGCTTCGGGCAGAGGATGCCTGTCCGTGCCTGGTCGGGCTGCCCAATGCCTGACCGGCTGTCCGATTTTTTTTTTATATTATATTTTTATGTTGTTGAAAGAAGTATTTGTATAATTACAATGTGTATATTACAATTTGAAATATGAAATGAACACTGAACACATGAACGAACTATATAAAAAAAATTACTTCTTCATTGATTTTTAAATTTGTAATTCATGATTGTCTCATTAAAAACCTTACCAAGAAAAACCCAATTGGGATAAAAACTTAATAAGGAAAAAAGAGTGCAATCATTGTGGGACGAATTACCAATTTGATGAACTTACAAAGTCTATACAAGATTACAATAAACACTATACAAATTAGGAATTACAAAGTAAATAAATATTTACAAAGAAATTATCAAGATCAAGCAGAAGGATCATCTTGAAAATTAAAAGTTAATCTATTAAATTCATCGATCCATTCTTAGTTTGCTGGTGAGATTATATCGTGTAAGCGTTGGTCGGAACGGTCTCAATCATTGATGCACACCAAAGCTTCAACAATATCCTGCTGCAATGCGTTTCTCCGTTCTTCAAGTATTCGGCCGGTTGTACTGAATGTTTGTTCGGCTGCAATAGTGGAGACCGGGATTGAAAAAATATCCATTGCCAGTCGTGTTAGGATCGACCAAATTAATGCTCGTGCCCTACACCACTCAACCAAATCAAACACCTCACTACTGTCTACAACTAAGCCCTCACTCAAGTACGCCATTAACTCGTTGAATCCGCC